GCAAAATACTAAAAGAAACACTTTTGAAGTGAGCAACACACGCGTATATAGACCGTTTTACACATCCGACACACTAAATTTATTAACACATGTTGTTCTCCAACATCAACTCGTCACTGAAACTCTCAGCGTTGGCAAAGTGTATGGCGACCGTTGCGTTGCTGAAGTTACCACGAAATACAAACCAAATAAGCACACATGCATACACACACGCGTGCTCAGCAGTCGGTGGTGGTGGATTGTGTGGATGTCAATTGTTTGTTGGGTGGCTGGTGGAGTAGCATTAGTGCGACCGGTAACCGGTGTATATGCGCGCGAAGTATGGCATGAGGCAAGTTGGATGCTAAAAGACTGTAGTTATAGAAATGTGTGGGTGGAAACAGTTGAATATATGAAGCGCCCGCTTGTGTCTATATTATAATATACATATGTAAATGCAATGCTTTTATTCACCACATTAGAGCTTTTAGATGTATGGGGAATTATGTAGCGGGACTTACAAGACACTAAGTGTTAAGTTTTGTTGTGACGGTGCCGGATATGAAGCGTTTGAATTTAAATTTGTGGATTATGCTAATTTATAGCGTAAGAAGCTTTTTGTAAGTAAGCTTTAAAAAGTGGTAACATAAGAAAAAGCAAGCACAAAGAAATTGTTTTGCTTTAATTTATTTAAATATTTAATTTATTTCATATTTTTGTAAGAAAAAACTTAATAAAAGTTCTCAACCTTTTATAAAAAACTGTTATCGATTTATCGAAATATTAACTACACCAGCTGACAAGTTTTAACGCTGTTACGTGAATTTTTTTAAAAAGATTCATGAGTAGAGCAAGTGTTGGCGTTGATAAAAGTACTGACTATAAAATATATACATATGTACAAGTATGTATGTACATCCAAAATTATTTTGTGTTAATTCTAATTTATAAACAGAGAATATTTGACTAAAAAGCAGTATTAGCTGCAGTATTATAACAAACACATAAAAATATTTTTGTGCTCTCAATTGTGATTATTATTATCTGTCAAATAATTGCATTAATGCAGTAAAGTCACCCTCACCAAGCAATGCATTGATATTGGAAGACACAAAGTCTGACAACTAAAAATACTATGCTTCCCTGCATTGGTTAATATGTTTAGGACATTTTCACGGTATCGCACAATATTTCGCTAGTGTGATAATAATTTATTGCAAACCTAAAACAAATGTATTTTCGTAATACGGTAGAGCTTAGGGGACATAGTTTGCGCTTGACATGCCCTGTGACGCGTCAGAATGTCACAGATTAGTAACAGCAACACTTCGGACATAATCACAGATTTCCTAACCAAGAAATTAATGATGTAGGGGAGGAGGCACTAGAAGAAAGTGGAATTAATATGAGGGATGTAGGATGTACTATATACTTACGCATATACATTTGTACATACATACATACGCATATATAGAACATACACAAATACATGCATACATGTATATGCAAAACAACAACACTTTGTAAAGTTCACATTGCTAGCAGTCCTCATCACTGTTCATTCTCTGCACCCAAACACCTAAAAAATCTTAGCCAGGGGTGGAAGCTGCCTTATGACACCTCAAATTAATAATGATGTCGCGTGTGCCATGACTAGACTGGCGCTGCGTAACGTTGGGGTGACAAACTGACTAACTCATGATACGCTAAATTTTATGCATTGGCTGGCATAAATGTTCCATCACTTTGTTGTTGCGATTGCTCAATAATGCCACATATTTTCCATAGTAAATTTTTCAGTTCTTCTAATTCGTGCCGTTTCTGCTCCTGAAAGTTGGCCAATATTTTCATTTATTTTCACATGAACGCGTTTCAGAAGATGTTTTCGCATATACAGATCAAATATCGGCGTATATGAAAAAGGTAGAATGACTACAGCCAAAACAAAAACAATGAAATCCAGATTTCGGCAGTAATCGCCTCATTCGGTAGTCAAGTTCATTTTAATCTTCAGTTCTTCAAAACAAAAAACTGATTTAAAAAAAGTAGATTGTATATAGAATGAAAGTGTGTATAAGTTGATTACCTAAAGATAATCAGACCATTAAACTTTTGAAGAAGCAATTTGCTTTTACCTAAAAAGAATTATTGAAGTTTCACGAATATATAGTTATTATTAAAATTAATAAGTAACTGTTTTTATTCCCTGTACAGGGTATATTAAGTTTGCCACCTACTCCCAGAAAGAATCGTCGGAGCAAATATATAAATATAGGTTGGTTGTGAAGCGTCTGCTCTCAGCAAGAAATAGCACACCTACCTTCAAATTTTTGTTTACTCAAGTTGGCACATTTGTCGTGAGAACACATGTAAAGTTATAAGTCATTCTGTCAATTAATTCTTTGTTTACAAGCTATTTGAAGTTGACGAGTCAGAGTATTTTTTAATTTGGAAGAATTGAATATTGCGCAGTGATTAGATTCTTGGTTTTGAAAGGTTTAAAAGCAAAGGAAATATATAAACAGTAGTTAGAAGTGTTTAAGGAGTCCTCACTTTCAAAACGCAACGTTAAATTTTCGGTTGGTGAATTTAAACGTGGTTATACTAGACTTGAAGACGATCCACGCGGAGGACGACCAAAAACCGTAACCACACCAGAAATCATTGAGCAAGTTCATAATATTGTTAGTGAAGATCCAAGTTTGACTAAGCGTGAAATTGCTAATGCCATAGGAATCTCAGACAAACGAGTACTTCATATTTTACATGGACAATTACATATAAAAAAGATGTTTGGTAAGTTAGGGCCGCACACGTTAACAATTCAACAAAATCGGGATCGAAAACAAATTTGTCAGCATAATTTGGAGCGTTTTAAATAGAACAAAACCGCTTTATTGCGTCGTTTTATAACTATGGATGAGACTTGGCTCTATGCCCATGATCCTAAATTGAAACACGAACATTTACAATGGACTGAAGCTGATTGTTCAGCTCCAAAGCAGGTGAAGTCAAAACGATCAGCAAAGAAGGTTATGGCATAAGATTTTTGGGAAGCAAAACGAGTTTTGTTGATTGATTATCTGCAGAAATGTAAAACAATCAACTCTGAATATTATTGCAGCCTTTTGAATCAGCTGGATGAAAAAATTTGTGAATAAAAAACCAGGTTTGCAGCACAAATATCATTTTTTAGCAAGACGATGCAGCTGCTGCCAAAGGTGTCTTAACAATGACAAAATTCAACGCATTAAAGTACGAATTGCTTGAACATCCACCGTATTCACCTGATTTGGCTCCCAGCGACTACTACCTCTTCAGAAACGTGAAGCAATTCCTTCTTGGAAAGCGTTTTTCGTCGAATGATGAAGCTATTAGAGTCGTAGATGAGTATTTTGCAGAGCTTCCGGAAAGTAAATTTATTGGCGGAATAAAAAAATATATTTCGTATCAAAAACAGTATTGTTTCAATTCGCGTGCAGAAACTTTTCAACCAACCTACATGAATATAAATGATCGTCACACTGATCCGATTTAGGCATATCCGTCTGTTTTTGAGTTATCGATCTGAAATTTTGCACACAGCCTTTTCTCTCAAAGTAGTTGCGCTTTGGTCGGAACTACCGATATCGGACCAATATAGCTAGCATATAGCTGCTTTACAAACAGACTGATCACAATCAAGTGTTTGTATGGAAAACTTTTTTATTTGGCAAGCTATATTCACAAAATTTTGCATAGATTATTGTCCAAGGCAACGGTATAATCTCCGAACAAATTTTTCAGATCGGACCACTGTAGTATATAGGTAGCATACAAACTGATCGATCAAAATGACCGTTGCCACGACAGTCGGGTCTACGTAACCGGAGGGACCCGGGTTTTATCTGGCCAAGGACTGTCAACTCAGCAGCACTCTTCCGCTACAACAATAACAGCGATTAAAATGAAGTTCTTGTATGAAAATATTTTTTATAAGTGAAGCGCATTTTAGCATCGGTGCAACCGAGGTTTACGTTTTCTTCTTATTTACTGCTTTTTGAATTAATTTAAAACCGTGTTAACAATAGGTAACAAAAATTTATTTCCACTTTTAATTAAAACAAAATTTTCAAAATGCATTGCTGTTTAAATTAATAAAATTCTATTTACATAAATAAAATTAAGTGTGAATGGAAATGTCTTTAAATATTTGAAAATAATTTTTAAAGAATTTTCTAATGTATGTTTCAAAAGAAGAAAAATTTTTTTTTTATTATTAAAAAAAATATTTAATAGCTTAAAATACTAAAGTTGTGTTCTTAAAGAATTTTCAATACGAATTTTTGTTATTTTGAAATGTGTATTATGTACAAATATTGTAAAATTAAATTTTTCAGTAACAAACATTATTTCAAATTTAAACAAAACTTAACAAAATCCACTTAATATGTATGTATTTTAAAAATATGAGTTTCTAGCAAAAATTTATTTTACGAATCCATATATTAAATTATATTTTATTTTAACCATACATCCTAATTAAGAAAAATAATCGATACTTTGATAGCTATTACACATAATAAGAAAATGCGTTTTTGATTAACAACTTGACTTGATTTGGTATATAGTATGTATAAATTTACAGATGTCTGCATATGTACAGCATTCTAGTAACTCTTTGCAACAATTTGTGTGCTTAAAACTAAACAAAATAAACAAAAAGCAGTTCAGTACTTGTTTTGAAGTCACAACTCAGCTAAACTTTTTTGTATGTTTATAATTTAAAAATGCGAGTTTTAAAATTATTTTACTAGCAAAGGAGCTGTAAATACGAGTCTGCATTTGATTGGAAGGAACATAGCGCTTGAGGTTGTACGAAATATTTTTTTTTTTTAAATAACAGTACATATTTTTCACTACAAATGGTAGCAAAAGCATTATTGGCAAAACTACTAGTGTTTGTTGTAGTGTAGCAACAAATGTAGCGAGGAAAATATTTTATGTCAAAATCTGATGGTCATATTATACGACACCATCCAGACAGTATAATTTTCTTATTTATTTACAACTTGACGCTTGAATAACCTAAAGATATGTATTATTGACAATTTTTTATGGTTTTTCCGCCACTATATTTATAACTAATATCTATTATTGGATTTATGGCATTAAATATTATTTCAGCATAGCTTACTTTGCTAAAAAAAAAATATTAAGATTAAAATAATGTAAAATTAAAACAAAAAAAAACAAAAATTATATATATAGAATTCATATAACCATAACTTAGAACATAAAAAGTAAAGAGTATTTCCGCTCTCCAAATATTAGAATTTTGCTCAATTCGAAGAGAATGGAATGTATAAGATATTCTTTTCATCAGAGTTATATTTGTTGCTATAGAATAATTTCTTATAGCTAACTACCAATAAGACTAAAAATATTACATTATCGATAAGTAAATAATCTAACCTAACTCTTTCCTACAGGAAATAGAGCAACAACTAAAACAACCTACTAAGACTTTAAACTACATAAGTTACAAATTAATCTGTAAATCTAATTTTCTTATAATATCCTTCGCTTTATTGAGGCTTGCCGGTCCATGTGTATTTGTTGTCGCCATCTTATAGAGATCAGTCATATATTTCTCGATATTATCCATTGTGGCACCGTTTGGCTGTGTTGGTATGGCCAAACCGGAGAGCGCATGCGCCAACTTTGCTTTCAATTTATCCAAATATAATTCGAGTAAACGATTCTTTTCCGCCAATTCGTCATTCTCGTTAGTCATTTTTTCCACACCGAATTTCATATTCTCCACATGTTTCTCCAATACAGCATTTTGTTGTTCTAAATCTGCTTTCGATTTGCGTAGCGTACGTAATTCCATATCGAAAACTTTATTATGTTCTAGAAATTCATTGGTGAATATTGGTATTTCGCCGGGTACGGCTGTTGCGGCTGCGAGTGAGTTGGCTGTATTAGTGCTTGTTGGTGTTGTGGTACTGGTTGAATTGCTATTATGATTACTACTTGATGTGGAGTTGTGATTGTTATTGTTGTTGTTAGTGTGGAGTGTATTGTTTTTGCTTTGACTACTGTGTGTATCGCCAGCTATGGGTGGTGTCGGTGTGCGCTTACGTCGAGGCTTATTATCCAACGTTGTTGCTGGCGGCGTATTGTCCTTTTCCGAACTACGGCGTGATTTATCTTTACCAGCGGCTGTGTTGGCATTTGCTTCCTTATTTGGCGGTTTAATATTGCCTACCGACTGTGATTTCTCCTTTAAAACCGTCTTGCCAGCCTCGCCGGGGCTTTTGCGTATTTGCTTATCTTTAGCCAGCTCGCATGCCAACACATCGGGACGTTCTTTGAGGAAAGTGTGCAATTCGGCGAGGTAGCTGAAAGCGAAAATTTTTGATTTATTGTAAATATTTATTTTTCTTAAAATTGTACTAAAAGTTGGTCAAAATTGCTTTAAAATTAATTTGTAACGACGTTTCTATCAAATTTTCAACATCTATGTACATATAAAATTTACATATATTTATAGGTACATACATATGTATATATACCTGCAGTGAATATCAAGTGTATACGGAGTTGCGCCTCGACTCTTATGAATCACAATTAGTGATTAATAGTAATTAAAAACGTATGCATATATGAATGATGCATATTATATGGCATGTAAAGAACACCCATATAAGCAAATCCATTTATTTTAGCAACTCAATTTCATAAATCACTGCTAGACAGCACTAGAAAATGCCCTAGTTTCCAATTGAAAACCATTAAACTAGTTTAACCAGTAGTTAACAGTCACATCTGACATATTCTTGCAATTTTACATACTTACAAACATAGATACAGAAAGAGATATAGAAAAAAGTACATACTTATAGTAAAAATATATGCATATGCACAAATAGTTTACTTAAATGCAGGTAAGCCTCTTGGTAGATACATAATTTATACGTATACATAAATGGTGTGCTTTCATGAATGTAGTTGTGTGTATAAATGTATGCCATACGGGAGCACTCTAAGTCACAATCGAATATTAGCATTCGTACGTTACTAAAAACGATATATAGCACGAAAATCACCAGGTTTCATTGTACGTGATAATCGTTGATATGTGTATTGATTTAAAAACTACTTGTGTACAAATGTAAATATAATGTGTGTGCACATGCTGACAGTAAATTAAAAAGCATTCGAATTTCTGTATGACATCTAGTATAAAGTTGCTGCACGCTTTCATACATAGCGCACTTAATATACCAACCTGTTACTTAACCACTCACCGTTGTTTATCAATTTCAGCTGCTTTCATATATGGCGCTTTTTTGTCCTCCGTCATCTTTTGCCACTCTTCACCGATAATTTTTGTGTGCTCAATCGCTGTTTTGGACGGCAGTTCCTTACGCAGCATCTCGCGTCGATCATTCATGTAACGTACATAACCTAACAAGAATAAAAACAAAAATACTGTTAGACAACATGCTAATGTTTATGCATAAGTATATTAACAGTAATCGGAATGTGTATGTAATATTTATCACCCATGTTAAAGTGTACCTACAACGCATACCTGCCGATAAAAAGTATTGTTTTTCACATAGTAGATTACAACATAAATTAGCTAGAGGCACATATATTTAAATACTAATACGCATACTCATACTTACCAGTCAAGGGCATCTTAGGCGCACCGGCCACTTTAATTTTTCGTCGTTTCAAACGGAATGACTGGTCGTCTTCTGCTGTAGCAGCGCCTACACTACTACGTTTGCGGCTAGCTTTTTGTAAAGTTGTTGTTTGATGTGAGCCCACAGCATCTTCACCATCTGACAATGATATAATGGGTGTATTAACATTCATTGGCGCCGTATGTGTCGATACCAATTTGGCAGACTGTTGTTGGCATTGCTCATTGGATTTGGTGTAATCTGTTGTTGCTGTGGACTTTAATGGTATTTCCTCTATGTCCATATCAATATCCTTGCTAGCAGAGCTTTCAGTTGAAGTTGTTAAATTTGTTGTTGTTGTATTGTTATCCTTTGTTCTAGTTTCCGCTGTTGTAGTAACAGCCAGAGAACTATTTGCAGCGCTGCTACCAGCACTACCAGTCAAACTACTATTGCCGCTGTTTTCTGCCATCGACGCCGCTGTTAACGTTTCGTTCATTTGTTTTTTACTACACTCTGCCGTTGATTCAACAATTTCCATACCTTGCTAATAAAATTAAGGAAATACAAACACCGCTATTTAGAATGATTTGTAGTTGTCCTTTGATTGCTTTGAAAGTCGCTGTTATTTAGTAAACTCACTAGCACTATGTAATTTATATGCTCAGCAAAACAATATAGTATTTGCTAACGAACTTTCTTGCACGAATTCAGCTAAACATATGAAAAGGCCGCTGCGCTGGGTATGTTTAGTTGGCCATATATAAAGTCGCATGCTATACACAGCGTTGCAAATTAAAGAAGCCTTTTTTGAATTTGCTTGCAAGTGGACTTAATTCCAAAGTATTACGGCATTAAAAAAATCGCTTTCTTTTAATAAAAAATTGGAAAAAATGTCGTTAATTCAGCTCCTTTTTTGCATCATCATTTCTCGACTCTTTAATTTGTGTGTTAGAAACTCTTTTGTTACTTTTACGTTTATGTATGCAATGCAACCCCACTATTTTTTTTTTTTGCCACCATACAATTGTCACTATCCTTTCTTGTAAAGCATCCTTTAAAAGACGTTTGAAATAACGTTCTTTAGCTAAAATCTGTACACGCCAGTTATTAAGTTTTAAATACAAGTTAATTTTTCGAGTGTTATTATTTTTTATATTATTTATGCTAGTTTTATTCAGTTGCAAAAACGTTGGAATTTCATTTATTGATTTAAATAACACATGATATCCATTTGAAAGAATTTGCTTGCGCGTTTTCTATGTACAGCTGTTCAGTGGTGTTCAGTGTTTTATTCTTTTTCTCAACTGCTCGGTATGTTCAACGTTACTCGGATATCATGATATACGTTCTCTGCTGGTGTTCCCCTAAAGTTATTAACAATTTGTCTTTCTATATAAAATCGGTGTCAATTTCTTATACTGGAATGAAAATAAAATAAAAGTTATGCTAATTACCAATAATATACAGTAATTACTTAAATTAATTTCACCGGTTTCCTGACATATGCCAGAGAGCGTATATCATATATTCAATTTAATATACGTTCTCTGGTATTTACTTTATTTCCTAATTATTCCACACCACCACATTCTTGGCAATAGTTGGCAACACTTTTGTATTCAATTCCATCAAAGGAGAATTTCAGTTGATTGGAAATTGTTGTGTTGTTTTGAAGTGTTATATCTGCGGCGGTCAGATTAATGAAATTAGAAAAATCTCAAATAGTTATAAAAAGAATTAAAATTTATTGTTGCCACAAAGAAGCGATGGAAAGAGTATAAATGCAAGACGTAGTGGCTAAAAATAAAAGTGAAGTGTAGTGCATAATCAATTGAAAAGAATGAAAATAAATATGAAAGTTCCGCGACATTGATCTGGGAAAGGAAGCTGTGAAGTAAAAGGAAATAATTCTAATGGAATAAAATTTCGGAAAAGATAAGAATATAATAAGTGGTACATAGCACTATAGAAGGCAGCTAAAATTGTTGTTGTGTTTAATAAAAAATAAATATATATATATTTGTATAACTGCTTAAAAGCTGTAAGAGTTCTCACCAGCGCTTGTCGGGAATGGGCAGATGTCATTAAACTGCAAAAAAGTGAATATAATAGATAAATAAAGGAAAGAAGACCTACAGAAACGCTGAAAGGCAAGCAAAGTGAAGTTTTTTTTGTCTGCAACACTTCAACTTGCCTTTCATTTCACCAAAGTGCCCTCAAACGGCACAGATTTCTATTTGCGCGTAAGCTATTTGTCGGAAATCAGGTAAATTGTAGTATGTGTTTTTTTTTGTCAATAAATGAAGGGGTTTTATACGCATGTATAGTATTAAATTATTTAAGTTCTTTGCTGCATGCTGTATTAATTCTTTGTCTATTTGGCTGCGGCTTTAGCCTGAATATTTTTACGTAATTTTTATCACACCTTAAATTAACGCATTGTAAAAAGCTTTTAGCTGCAAGAATTAGTCTATTTTTGTTCTTAATTTACTAATTCTGATCTACTTGCGAATGTTTGTTTTCATTGTTTAAACTGGTATTTCATGTTTCCTGTTGTGTGAGCTTTGCTGCTGCACCAACCATTTCTTTACACATGCATAATGGTGCATACATAAGTATCTCCCAGCAAGCATACATAATGGTGCACACGTATCTCCCAGCAAGTGGGTTAATATTGCCAACTAAAGCATACTGAGTGGAATGCAAAGAAGCCATGTGATTTCATTAAGTAATCACGTACAAAACCATGATGGATGATTAAATGAAGCACGTTTAAAATAAAGAATTGAAAGGGACGTCGAGTGCTTCGCAATAGTTAATAAATTTATATAAATATGATTGTACAATATATAAAGTTTTAAGGGTTTTGTTTATTTCAGTTATAGAGAGTTAGTTTTACATTAGTTTAAAAATATATGTATATATATTCATTCATACATATTCTAACTACATATTTTTAGTAGTTCATAATAAATACATATTTTATAAGCATATTATTGGAAGGAAAAACATTGTTTTGTATGAATATACATACACATATGTACAAGTATATTACTAGACTTAGAATATTCTTTGTTACACAGAAAAGTTCTACATAATTTGTTGTATGTGTTTATGTACGTAATAATACCAAGCCTATCAAAAGAAATGTTATATATAAATGTGGATAGAACACCAAAGTAAACTTTACACCAGCAAATATGTTCACAGATACTATGTAAATTTGTAATTGACCTAATTTTACATTATAGTGTTTACACTTGTAAGCTGGTACATAGTTTATTATGTTTGTGGCCTTTAAAAACTTTTGGAAAAGGTGGGATTTTGTAGCTGTTCAATAAGAATCCTATTAAAACGCTTCAAAAATATAGTATTTTTATACTCTTGCAAAATGTTGCAACAGAGTATAGTATTTTTTTTTTTACCTTACTGTTGTTTGTATCACCTAAAACTAATTGAGAAAGACATGGAGTTATATATACGTACATATGTATATATATAATCAAGATGACGAAGTGAGCTGAAATCCGGATGTCTGTCTGTCCGTTCGTCTGTCTGGTACAAACTGTAACTTGAGTAAAAATTGGCTTATAGTAATGAAACCTAGTACACGTGCCATAACTAAGCACTAAATTAAGATATAAAACTGTAATTTGGCACAGGGGATCACAGTAGTAGATCAAAATTTAAAAAAATGATCGTGGCCCGCCCTCTAAGAGAGTCTAAACAACTCCAGGTAAAACTACCAAATCCGCTCGAAGCAAATCCCTTAAGCAGCCCTACCGACACTGTAAAAATGTGTCAAATTCGGACGATGTATATTATCTTAATATTTCTATGTTTCAGTGCGAAAATGGACGACTACCATGACAGGAATTAGTCCTTCAGTTTTTTAAGTAGCGATCTGAAATTTTGCACTCGTCCTGCTCATATAGCAGCCATACAAACTGTACGATCGGAATCAAGTGCATGTATGGACGTTTGACGAAATATCCTCAAGAAATTTACTTTTCGACATACATATACAATGCATATATAGTTTACATACCTACATGCTTGAATATTTTTATACAATTAGTTGTTGTTATAGCGCCAGAATTTTTATACACTAGTCTTCAGATAATGGTTTATTTATACATATCAAAGAAAGGAAGCCACAGACTTGCCACCCAAACAGGGTTATCCGCTACAGCAACAGCAACAAACGTGCCAGAAAGCCACACTCCGTACAATTCCGGGATGTATGTTATCTTGATGTCTTCTGAAAATCACCTACACAGTGAGGGTAGCATGCTTCCGGTTAAGTAACATTGCGAACTTATCCAAGCAATTTCTGTTGGGATATTTTCGCAGAAATCATATCTGCTTGCTTGAAGCCAAACCACGAGTTCCTTCCTGCAATACGTTGACAAAATCAAACAATTTAAATGAGGCTTTAACCGCCATTCACAGTGAAGTCCCTAATCGATTCTTTCATTGGGTATAGCTTCCTTGGAGACAAACCACCAACCATAACAGAACAAATGCCTAACTTGCTCCGCGAAACTAGAGTAACCCTATCGCAACTTCCTTCGGGATATTGTAGCAGACTAAATCCTACTTATCCAAACTAGATCTCGCCATACTCATCATATATTCTGCATGCAAAGAGTCTTCGCATGACACTAGCCATCTCTCTCACATCTTGTGAAACGCACTCATAAAAACCCCTTTTCTTATATTCCAATCCCGTCGTAACATCGCGTTTTCTGGATCTTCCGTTAGATGATATTGATGATAAATAATTTACCTAACCTACAAATATGGTTTGGCTTACCGACTTCCTGCTGGCAACAAATTATATAGCCGCGGCTTCATCCAGTAGGCCAAATTCAGTTCGTTCTCGATCTTTTATACCCCATGCCACAGGCCCGAGTAAGTTTTGGATCTTACTTATAGGATTCCCACACTTTTTTTTAACTAATTAAACGGACACTTCATCATTTTTATATAAAATGTTGAGAGCCTTAATCTGTTGATTACTGCGTGCATATAAAATATGAATTCAAGGCAACAAAACCATGTAGACAAGCATAACTATTAGTCAGTTACGCGCGTCCACTGGAGGTCATTGCAGCAATTGACTCAAAATGCAAACTTTTCATAAAATGTGTGTGCATTCATAGCCAGCACAGCTTGGCAACCGCACAAGCATCATCAAAACTATGAACACCACTCAGTCAATCATTCAAACGGTCGATCAAGCGACCACGCTACCATCATGACTGCGGCCTCTGCCAACATTTGCGCATTGCTCTATCGCTGAGCGCAGTAAACAGCATAAAAATGAAAACACCAAACACTCACGCGCCGCAAGAAACGTGTGCCGCACATCCCCGACTATGAGCTGCTATGTGCTTCGCCTATGCTGGCTGACTGACACGTCCTCCGGCATGTATGCCATTTTTCTTTCTGTTTCATTGAACTTCATGCGCTGTTTTTGTAAACTTTGAACTTTTTTATATGCCACTCAGTCAATTGTTAATCAGTTTTTATGTTTGTATGTCTGCAGCTTAAACACTCTTCGAAAACGTTTGTCGTCGAATCACTTGTTAGCTGCAGCCACACGATTTCCAGCACATTGCCCTTATCAAGCAAGCTGTTTATGCGTACTTACTCTGCTCTCAATATGATCCCTTTCCCTAATTTTCCAGCATTTCATATATTTTGTTCGTCTGCTAATTCTTTATGTTTTCGTCTCGCCGTCACTCCATCTACTCATACCAATTGGCTCCCATTCTTTGTTGCTTGTCGCTGTGTCAGTGTTTCGCCATAACTTGATTTTGGGTTTTAATATTGGCTTAGCGATTTTCTTGTTCGTAGCTGGGGCGCAGACAACAAAGCGCGGTTTTTGTTCGTCTGCTTCTTGTTCGTAAAATTTGCAATTTCAATTTCTTAAGTACGATAAACTTACAAGTATATTTCTTTACTGAATAACAGTAAGAGTGGGTTTTTAACACCTAAAAATAACTTTTTGTGATCAGCGCTACATGTAAAAAATAACAGTATGTGCGCTCTGTGGTTCGCTGAACTTAAATTTTATTACATTCTACACACCGCAAATATAGTTGGTGTTACATGTACAATTCTTCCCATCCATCCAGCAACACCACCTTCCCTTTGTTCAATCAACGAACTTGGAAATTGCGGTTGAAATCTGGATCTAAATTTTCAGATCGATGATATATTTGGTTTAGCTGAGAGATCTAATGACCAACACTCAGTAGAGTAATTCGGTAATAGTTGGTTGAAGATCTTTTGATATATACTTACCGCCATTTATGATAGGGTTAAACGAAGACCTAAGGACTGAATTCGTATAAGGAACTGATTACAGCTTGGTATATGACGACCAAAAGATCATATCTAGCTGGATATCTCCGGTTTGAGAAAACATATAACTTAGATAATTTTCTCCATTCCTGCTGCCAAATTGTCTAAGCTACCATTGCTTTTGAGGAGAATGAAGCGCCTAGACATTAAACTCGAGCTCACTTATTTTATAATTTTTTTAGACTGTCTACGGTGTCATGATCTGGATTCTTTGTTGAAGTTAATGGACTGAAGCTCAGTTTTTTTTTTTTGTTCAGGACTTTTGGTTATCAAAATTCCAAGGACTATACAGTGACGTACGGAACGAATAAAGTCGTTAGAAAATAATGAAAAGTTGACAGCCACTCTGCCACAAAAGCAGTCGGCCTCCCCTGACTGCATACGGTCGTTTTTGGTTCTAAGGACGTTCTTTCTAACGAATTGTCGAACTGCATTTGAATAGATTTCTTTCGACACGCAGCCAGTTACTGCACGCTCTTTGTCCATATAAAAAACTCAGTTATAAAGGGACTAAGCTATTTATGTGATAAACTACTAGAGACCGCAGATGAGGTAAAATATAGCGATTTAGACGGAATCGACATTTTGTTCATTTTCCAAGGTACTGTCACTTCGAATCACGGAGAGGAATGTAGTTCTCCATTTGCTTTTTTTTTTTTTGTTTTTTTTTTCTTTAACGGAGAAGAGACAGAAACTGTGCGGCTTCCTCCATTAACAATTAGTATATCAGAAGTCAATTCATCGGATGCTGTAAGAATGTTGTAAAATATTCTTGGTAGATTCTGTGCAGTTCAGAGTCTCTATCGAGTCACATTCTGGTGGTTGTAGTTCGTATTCTTCCCATCTAAACAGGGTTCGATCGCTGAAAGAACAGCAACAGCCCTTGACGATACA